ACGAGAGTAGCACACAAAATGTTCAATGAGAGAATTGAGGTTTGTCTGCTGCAACTAGCAGAGAATAGATATTTACACTTTAAATTTAAAATTTACAGATGTAAATAATTTCATCCAAAATGAGTGGCTTCAAAAAGTTAAATCAGAGAATTTCTTCGAGAAATTTTCCGATACGCACGTGCTAAATTATATTCACAAAATACAAAAAAAAAAAAAAAAAAAAAAAAAAAAAAAAAAAAAAAAAAGAAACGAAATAAAAAAGAGCAACAAACAGGATTATTTTTGTATTTGAATAAATATTTTCTTGGATGCAAAACCTGAGAAAAAAATTTTTTTTTACACCGTTGGTATGTTAAATTTTACAGAAACAGAGAAATAAGTTTTTAATTTTTTTTTAACGAGAAAAGTATTTAACGAGAGGACTTTTTACGAAAATTGTCCGAAAAAAAATGACAACTAATATATTTTAGTTCGCGGGCCACAAAAAAGGGCTTCGCAGATCGGATGCGGCCCGCCAGTTCATAACCACTAGGTGCATAGTATGTCTACGGTAAGAACTCCCTCGCCACAAAGTCTGAGGCCGCCTGCTGCTATGGAAACAAGAATAGGGCATTTCAGGGAGAGTAGCTTTTCTTCACTCTAGGGGTAACACAATAGACCGGAGAAAATGATTACCTTTCTCTGGCAGACCCGAACCTGTCCTAAACAGTGACCCCACATCCCTACTTGAAATAGTTATACTTTGTTACCATAGTCACCGCCACGGGTCCAGACGAATGTCTAGGGAAGGTCTTACTTTAGACAAACTATACATTAATTGAAGAACGGATCCGGTCTAGTGACATCATTAAGTACAAAAGCGTCACGACCGGATATTTCAGTACCAGAGCAGTGATTAAAAATAGTACTTATTCATATATATATATTTTTTTACTGGTCCATTTAAGTGCGTCGGGCTGCCTTTTTTTTTAGTTATTTTTAATGGATGAAAATAATTATTTAGCAAATTTAAATCAAAAATTACAATATAAAGAGTGCATAATATTCAAAATTATGTTGAAATATGCTATTTTGAGTCAATAAAATAGACCAAAAACACGAAACTAGGTCAAAAAACCAAAACAGCATATAGCTTGTCTAAAGTAAGAACTCCCCTAACCATTAGTCTGGACCCATTTCAGTGACCATGGTAACGAGGCATAACTATTTCAAGCAGAGTGTGGGGTCACTGTTTAGGACAAGTTTTGTCTTGGGTCGGCGAGGGAAGGGTATTATTTTTCTCTGGTCGATTGTGTATGGCCCTAGAGTAAAGAGAAGTTACCCTCCCTGAAATACGCTATTCTTGTTTCAATAGTAGCAGTCGGCCTCAGATTTTGTGGTGGGGGAGTTCTTACCGTAGACAAACTATACCATTCCTTTAGATTGTCCCCTGATAATTTAGTGGCATAATTTAGTCCCCTGATAATTTAGTGATCCCAGACTAACACACACTTTTGAGTTCTGTGTTCTCATCAGCCAGACCAAAATTGTTAGCAACAGACCCAGTACAGTTTTAGTCCGGGGAAAAAGAATAGGCTGTTCTCAAAAACGATAGGGAACATTCTAGTTCGTTTTCTAAAACAAAAAGGTATCTCAACCCCTTTGACCACACTTAAGTGTTCTTTTCTCTTTTCAATTTACAACAGCCAGTTTTAGTTTACAACTTCAATCGATATGCTTGCCGAAAATTCATTAAATTATTTAGTTTTACCACAGTACAGTTGATACGGGTCCTTTTTTTTTTTTAAATAATCGAAGTTAAACAGTGGACCCGATTTCGAGTTTACGCCTACCGATGATCCAACTCCGTAGCTTTATAATTTCGAACCCAATCCGGAAGACAAGGGAACTCCTAGATCAAGTATTGGGAGAAATTTGTCTTCGTGGGGGACTTTTTAGTTGCAACTAACTCTCATTTGTGATACATGGAGAGGAAAACCATGAAAACCTTCCATGGTTAGCCTGACAACAAGAGGATTTGATACGGGTCTTGTGTTTATTATTTCTATAGCCCTACAATTGGCGTAGGTCCCTCTATTCTTGCTTACATTAACCTCCAAGGAGAATAGAAATTTATACCTTTTGACAAAGGAAAATATTTAACTAATTCAGAAAGAAAAAAAATATTGGTCATTTAATTGTTAAGTACCTAAAAAACTAATGAAAAAATACGTTTTTTTTTCATATTTAAAGTTAGAAAGCTTAATTATGCTACTAAATCTATAGAGCTCTGAAAATATTTATTATTCTTTTTAATGATTTAAGTACTTAAATCTACTGGAGTGCAAATTTAAAAAATAATGCATAACATGTTCATCTTGGAGTTTCAATATTCATGACTGTAGAACAAAATTGAAATCATTTTCCACCCATAAAAGAAAGATTTTTAAACAATCTTCGAAGATGGTTTATTTTTCTGCCAACAAACTTCAATAGTATAAAAAGAAGGAGATTTTCGGACAGACGTATCGTGACAGTCATTCAAATAAATGACTTAAAAAATTATACATCAGAATTGATATTCACGCGATTTTAAAATGGAATATCGAGATTCGTATTTACATGTTTTTAAAATCAAACATCGAAATTCCTATTAACGCGATTTTAAAATTAAATGTCGAGATTCGTATTCGCGTAATTTAAAAATCACATACTAAGAATCATATTTATATAATTTAAATAAAAAAATAAAATCTGGCTTCGATATTTTTATTTAAACGTTGATAACATTCTGTGGATAAATGCTCTAACAACAGGTATTTTTTAAATTATTTAAGTGTTTTTTGCATATAACATTTTTGGATTTTATTTTCACCTTTTGCTTTTTATCCAACTCATTTCTGTGGAATAAACTTCTCTAAAAATTAAACATTTTTTTAAAAAATAAGTAATTTTTAAACGAATTTCCGGAGAATGAGGGAGCAGCTAAAAGATTGAAACAAGTTATGAGAGTTAATCAAAGCGTGCAGAAAGTTTTTTTAATTGAGATTTTGTGTTCGCAGAAATTTTTTTCATTTTATCGATTTCTGTGTGAAAAAGGCTATGAAGACAAGACTGAAGTACACACAAATGCAATGATACAGCAAGACAAACATCATCATTAGTGCAAGGAAAAAAAAAGCCATTTTTAAATTACACGGTTGTAGTTATTTTTTTCTACAGTATTTTAACAATCTACAACTAGTTTCCCATTTAAGTTTCTTGCATAGTTTCAAAGATTTGGATAAAATTATAGTAATTTTAAGCTTTGCTGTTTCAATAGAAGCTAATGAGCATATTTTAAGACTTAAAATATTAATGATTAAATGTTAAAAACGATTTTGATCAATTTAATCTGTGACCAGTCGGCAAAAATTATAGACACTAGCTTATATACACACTATATTTGAGAAAATGAAATAAATTACTTTACCAATGAAGGTTAATGATATTACATTTTTGAGTAATAGTGATCATTATAAGGATTTGAGTTTTTCTAAAAATAACGTATTAAAAAACTAAAAATTTTATCACCGAAAAAAAAAATTTCGACGATGAACTTTTTATTATTATTAAAACAAGCAATAAAGTATAATTGTAAGATTATCCTTTCCAAGATATTTGCAAGCACATAATTTAATCAATTTCAAATAAAATCTTTTTAGAATATGAGCATAAATAAAAACCTAACAGCACTATCATAATTCAGTTTATAGAATACTAAAAAGTGCTAAATTTAACATAAGATTTTTAATAATATATAAATCTTTTTTTGACCATTACAATACTGTGCAAATAAATTAGTGGCAGTCCCAAAACATTTTTTTAAAGTTGTAAGTGATTCCGAGCATGCATACATTTTTTTAAAAATGAATTTAAGAGTTATATAAAATACTGCCTAAGAATAAATTTAAAAAAAAGTTTCACTTAATTACACTGCTGGATTTTCAACTTAATTTAAAACCGAGTTCCAGATTTTCGCAAATTATTTTCCAAGCTATTTCAAGCATAAATCTTGGGAACATAAATCGAAGGCATAACTTTAATATTGTGAAATTTAAATATAAGACGATAGAATCATATAAGATTTGACACTCATGGAAAAAATCAACCACCTAATTGACAGAATTCAAAATTAGAAAAAGTTTAAGCTCATGAAATAAATAAAACAAATATATTAAACTGTCAAAACAACAGCAATTTCAAACTTCCCACATGCCATATAGCTTCGAATTTTACGAGCGAACTAATTGCCATCAAAGAAGCTCTTTTATTTACTATTCTGAAGATTCAACAGGACTGGTATTTTTCTCCGACAAGATCAGCATCATACACAATAAAGAAACAAATTTAACTCAGTGCATCAACAACCTCCTGCGATTTATAAAAAAAAAAGCTTTGCACTCTCCAAGGGATCCCTGCTCATGTGGACATTGAGAGAAATGAGTGCACAGATGTCATTGCTAAAGAGGTCCAAAACTTGGATCAGACCCCCAATGTCACCTCTGATGTCGCAAATGCAGTTACCAATCGCAAACTTTCAAAAAACTCTCCATTCTGAGTCTTAATTGCCCTAGAACTTCTCATCCGCAATAGTAAGACACATACGGGCCGTTTCAAGAACATGATGATCTCTTCAGACAAAACCAGATTAAACTCCACATGCAGACATTGTCCCCAAACCCAATTAATGCCAGAACACATATTCAACTGTCAAGCCATTTTGGCAGAACTTTTTAAACTAGGCGACCAGAGGACATCCTATACAGTCTTCAGAAGCCAGAGCTCGCAAAACTCATTCTCTAAACTTTTGGAAATATTTAGCACAGCCATAGACAAGACAACAAAAACAACAAAGCAACTGCATATAAAATAAACTACAGAAATAACTATTAAAAACATTTATTTCAACAAAAACTTAACATAAAACATTTATAAAAAATAGTATTTAAATAAATTATCTAAAACATCAAATCTCACTGTCAAGATGATTTATGAATGCAATCAACAACAATGCTCAGAGAACAATTATCACAGTCTACTAGCAGATATTGTTCACAAACATCAGATTCATCAAAAACATAAGATCCGCCACACCTACAGATTTTTTGGTACTGTTTTAGATCTTGGTCGAATAGCATTTCGTGCAAACTGACTTCTTCTTGCACAGGATGGACCGTCTTTAGCTCTGCTGCTTTAATCTCAGCATCATACTGCCTTCGGCGATTGTCGTCACTCAGCACTTCCCAGGCTTCCTGAATTTGACAAAAATTCGAACCATCTTGAGAAGAGGACTTATCTGGATGATGTTCTCGAACTAAGTTGTGGTAGCAGCTTTTAAGTTCTTCGCGAGAAGCAGTACTCGATACACCTAGAACTTTATAATGATCTGCCATCTGCAAAATAATAATAATAATAATAAAACTAATAAATTTGGTGAAAATAAATAAATTTGAACAAAAATCACATCCAAATTAGCAAGATTTTCAAAAACTGATTGCCGTTAAGTAAGATGGGGTCCTTATTTTTTATATCATAGTTTCCACGATTTCAGAGCCCACGCTAAGCGCCAAATTTACGATAAAATCGTAAATTTGGCGAAACAAATTGCGTTTTGGCGAATGACTTTTTCTACCAAAAAGAAAAATTTATAATCCCCTAGATCCTGAAAATTTTATCAATATGAATTTTTCTAAACAAATTATGTATTTTTTTATTTAATTACAGTAATTTCCTTTATATAAGTTGCATAATTAATTAAAATTAATAGGTCCAGATTATGTAAGAAACAAGATTATAAAAGCATTAAAAAAAAATAATAATAAAATATTTGTTTAAAAAATTAAACATAAAATTTTTTTAAGAATTGCCTTAAGCTAAGACTTTTTAAATTTGTGTAATTTACTAACTAGTAATTTGAAGTCCTTAGCGCGGATCCTGCAATTTCAAAGCAAAAATAGAATTTTAGGCTCATGAATTTTAAGACATTTTTTCAAATGCACTTCTATTAGCACATATCGTTTCATCTTAGGAGCAGGATCATATTAAACATTCTGCAACAGACTTGGTAATTCCAAATGTTCTATGGTATTAGATTAAATATAAAGCTATGTATAAATGCCTACATAATGGAACAAAACTATAAACATCATTTCAAATTTTCATCACTTGATTATCATCTGACGCTTGGTTATAATCTGTTTCACTTGTTCAGAAAAACAGTTTTTAAAACTTTTGGATTTCTTTTTTAATATAAAAGGATTTTACTCTCAAATTTTTTGAAGTGAAAAAAAAATAAGAAGAAAAAAAATTAAATGCTAGAAGTCTCAATAACAATAGGTTAATTAATTGGATTTCAAATTGATTAAATCTGCCGATAAATTTAATTCTAAAATCCTTATTACAGGCAGGTCAGGCATGCAGAGTAATATACAAAGCACAGATTTAAATAATTTCAGAACAATTTTTTTAAATTCTTCTTATTGTGAGTAGTTTTCTGTGGGGCAATTTGGAAATTTGGTTAGTCTTTGATAAGTGTATGATAAATTTTTTTTCTTCTTTTTTTATGAATTATGTATAAAATTATGAATTTTGCTTGTTTTTTTTCTCTTAAATTTCTAAAATTCTATATTTTATAAAATATATAAAAAATAATTTACTAAACTGTTTTATTTCTTAACTAGTATTTTTAACACAGAAAAAAAATAGTGCTTTAAATTTACTTTTATTTCTTTAAAAGCAGTTTTGAAAGAGTAAGATAACAGTCTAACATGAAAATCTAGTAAAAGCAACACTTAAAACTGACTAATATTAATTCATTACAGTATCTTTCCTTACTAAAGTATGCCAAAAACTATTCCACTTATGTTGCTACTGTTGATAAAGATTGAATAGAGTTCAGAAAAATACGCTGCATACAAAGTGAGCTTTATTTTTATAGATATTATTTTAAAAAAAATATGTAAAAATATTTTATTTTGCACACTTCAATAATAATAAAAAAACATTAATAGAATCATATTAATACAGAACTTATTTCAGAATCCCACTATGGGGTAAAATGGAAGTGCTAAAACTAAATAATTTTATGCGAGATAATAATCGGAAAAAATTCATAGCTATGTTTAATTTAATCTATGTTTTATGTTTAATTTACATTAATCCAAATAAAATGCATCCAAATTTTTATTAAAAAAGTGTAACGGTTTGGTGTTAGGGTTCCCACTTTACTTCACACTACCATATTTACAAATATAGAAAAAGAGAACTTCAAATTGAACTGAATGTAGGGTTCAATGGCACAAGGTGATAACTTTAATATATGTATCATATCAAAATATTCCACATTTACACAGAAACAAATTATAAGATCCTCAGGATATAGAAGAAAGATACTAGTGCAAGCAGCTAGCAGTTTTTTGGCATTTTCTTTTTGTAGGGCTAATCAAAGCTAATTAAGTGGATTTCTTTTTGTAATAAGTGCCATACAAGAAAATGCCTTTCCAAGAAGGATTTGTCTGTGAGATTTAGGCCTAAGGATCTTGCTGGTCAACTCATTCCAGCATTAACCTACAGGCTGCCTATAGGTCATGTTATAGAGTCGTTAAATTCATTAGACATCATGCAATAGATAAAGATGAATTATTGAGTGTACATGTGTGCGTTAAAACATCTTAATATGTACTATTTGTGTTGTGTGTGCCTTACTACACTAGGCTTAAGTTAGACTTTTGGTCTGTTTCGCTACATCAATAACAATTTCACTCATTGCATTTTGTTCTTAGTTTATACGCCATAGCAGGAGAAAAAAAATTACGACTTAAAAATACTTTTGTTTTTTTTAATAAATTAGGAACTAAAACTTCATTGAATACTTATCAATATAAATTGAAAGGCTCATTATAGATTTAAAAATATTAAGGGTGCCAACCAAAGATGTTGAAAAGAAACTTGAAGTAAGCTTAGGAGTGGTCAAGCAGAGAGTATTAAAGAAACTTTTGAAAGAAAAAAAAAAATACTAGAAGGAAGGGAAACTATAATTTTAAGAAGTTTTATTCATACACTTCTGAAGACATTCAAGAGAATCATAAAACTTTAAATCAATCCTGATGAAAATTTTTAAACAAAATAATATATTTTAAATTAACAGAATATTAAACAGTTTGAGTCATAAAAAAAAAACGTTTCCTAGATTTTTTTTTAATACTTAGCTGCTACTAGAGATTTAAATCAAAGTGATATACACTTTTATCTAAACACACTGGCCAATGAATTGGAATCTTTAAATTAACAAATTATAGGACTTTCATTTGCATAGTACAACAACTTTCATTAACAACTTGTATTCACGAGGGCATTGACTCTAAGGGTCTTTGATGCCTGAGAATACAATTCATTAACTACACAGATTTTAAAATTCTTTTAAATTAACATTAAATGTATTTTGCCTCCCCAAATACTTGTACATAAAGTTCCTTAAAATTAAACTAAATTTGGTTGCATGTCTATATAATTTTTATTGTTATCTCTTCATAACCATAAATTGTTTCAAGATGAATTTTTAAAAAATTTATTCCAAGCAAAAAAAAGTTTTCAAAAAGTGGCTATCAATATTGATCACAGACTCATAATGTTTGGAGAAAAAGTGGCTATGTCATTAAAGTCTATGGGACACTGGCTACTAGCCGAAAAGTTAATTTTTCAGGTCTATCATTAACAGAAAATCTCACAGGTTTTCAACTCATTGGTCAATGTGTGTAGCAGAAAGAAAAAGCAGTTTGCACAAGATAAAGATATTGATCAACTTGTGATCCAATCTTTGGAGATCTTTTGAGATGAGTCTTTGAGGTGCAACACAATATTTTCCTTTTATCAGTTACTTAAATTTTCGTTTTTTTAATGCTTGTTCATTAAGAGATCAAAAATAAAATAAAATATATTTCATAGTCTCTTAAAGCATGTTAAAATAAAGAAATAAAATAAAAGTGAATAATAATAGCAATAGTTTTTTATTTACTTTTGAACGATTGTTAAACTTTCAAAGAGCAATTTGAAGTTTAAAAGGGAGCTAACAGTTTCAGTAACAAATTAATGGTATTCTAATTATACAAAAAATAAAAACAAAACAAAAAAAACTGCTTTATACACAGCATTAATTTTTGAAAGAGAAAAGTATCACTGTAGTTTCTACACCATATGTACTGGTCTTAAACAGACTTTATGAAGTTCTGTTTAAGACCAGTACATATGGTGTACACAGGGTATCTGCTACATTTCATATTTTCAAATTCATGACTTTCCATGACTAATTCCAAGAATTTCTCATGACTTAACGAAGTTACTATTTTCTCCAACACAAACACAACAATATTAATCGAAATGATAGGTATAACCAAAACTGTTTTACTCTGCATCTTCATATTTGTAGATTTGAAATTTAAAAAACACAGTGAAGAAAGAATTGAAGTAATAAAATAGCTGGGGAAAAAATACAAAAGCATATATTTTTTTTTCTACAGAATTATATCCCAAACATACTTTTCTTGTTCATCGAAAAGGAAAAAAATACTCCTGATTCTTCTGTTCTCATTTCGAAATAAAAAATATTCGCCAATGACTGCCCTGATTCAGTCAGAATTTTAAATTTATAGTATGAGTGGGGATTTTGTTACAAATTCAGAATACTATGAAATTTGGGGGGNGAAAAATTGTGAAATTGGGGAGATAAATTCCATTTTAAAAATGAGATTTCTCGGTGACCTAAATCCATGACTTTCCACAATTTAAAAAAAAAAATAGTTAAAATCATGATATTTCATGACAAATTTTGTTCAATACCGAAATTCATGACTTTCCAGGTGCGCAGATACTCTGTATTTAGATGAAATTGAAATAGACCAGCCCACACGCAGAAAGTTTCAAAGTACGTAGATGCATTTGTAAATAAATAATAAATTATATTGTTGTAACAAATAAGCTGTATAGTCACCCGGGGAAATTCTTGGTCAAAAAGCATCAACATCCAATAATCAAAAAATCTATTTAAGCTAGACATACTAATATTGTCATGGAATAAGTACACTATGATGTCCACCTAATAAAATATTGACTTAACAATACACTAGTAATCTGAATAATTATAGTTACTTAGTGATCAGGATGTACCCCAGGGGTGGGGGTAACTCCTGGTCACCTATGGGATAATTATTGGTGCAAATACATACATTTTTTACATATATTATTAATACAATTTATTAAACTAATTAGATTACTAATTTTACAATCTATAGCTAACTAAGCACTAAACTGCTCACTCTAATTAAAATGCCTGGAAGTCTGCTGTATTTTAGAAATGCAATTTTACCCCTTAGAACTGTTATGTTAACATTATTTATTTTAAAATATTTAATTGTTTATTAATAAACAACAAACATAATTAACTGAAACCTGTAAATGTAATGCCTTAATTTTGAAATAGTTTTCATTATATGCTAAACCTTAATGCACAGCTAACATATGCTTACACAGTAAAGTTCATTAAAAGCTTTAAAAAAAATATTTCAGAATAAGGAAAAACTTAACTCAATACTATGCACTAACATGTTTTATATAGAAATAACGAATGTTGACAAGGAAAAGAATCACATTTCTGGTCATTTTTCATTGGTACATTTTTAAAAAATCTCAAGACCTCCCATTTTTTCATGGATTTGTTTAATGTGATGTTGAAGCAGGTAACTTATACTTCAATCCTATCAGTAATGGGAGGGGGGAGGGGGATATGGTTTAAGTTTAGGGAATTACAGTTCAAGTTGAAATGAACAAAGAAATTGAAATGCAACATTTCAAAGACCTTTGGAGTTAATATAAACAAACAAGGATAAATGACAATTTGTTTATATGTTTTAAAAGATATTAGGAATCAAGAGTAAATATTAATTATCAGTTAATTAGTGATGAAAAACACATAAAGATGATTAAAAACATAGATTATGTAGAATATTCACTCTACATTTGGTGAATTGGTCGGGAGGAAAGAGACCCCTTAAAGAAAGAATTCTTTAATAATACTAAAAGGAAGTTCGATTTCAATAACCATGACCGAAAGAACCATTAAAAAAAATTCATGATTAATTTTTAAGTGTTCAACAAACAAATATTTTTTGCTCTGTTTAATTTTGTATTATGTGTCAAAAACCTAGAAGTAATAACGTACTAATTTATGGTTTACATATTATGAAATACACTTAAATAATTATATACAAAACTCTCAACATTTGTACTAGAAGAGGAACAAATTTTCTGGAGATAGAATAATTGCAATAATAGTTGTGATTAGAATTACTTTTTTAAAATTTAATTAAAATTAACACTTAGAACCAAAGCAAAATATCATTCTTTTAAAATATTCTCAGTTTCTTTTCCTAATTGGGACTATAACTTCTAAATTTATGATTTACCTAAAAACTAAGTGCTTTTATTTGACATCCTGCTCAGAATGTCTATCAATATTGTAGTTTGCTTTTAACATAAAGTTGTTTTTATAAAAAATATTTTACAAATTGGGTTGCATATTGACTGAAAAATGTAAACAATAAATGCAAATCAAAAAATGGAATCAATACACTAGTGAATTTTAAACCAAATCAGAGTAAAACTTGAAGGTATCGCAGTACATTGTTTTAAAAATGTTTAAGTTGTAAAATCTTATTCAACGTAAATTTTTATTTAAAAAAATGATGATTGTGACGGATTTAAATGTTCACATTACCTAATACATAATATGGTACTGAAATGCTCCCTTTTAAGTCCCACACAAAACTGCAAAGGGGCACAACGAGCTGGTTTCCAGACACTGCAAACCGTAGCTACGCCTCTTGTAATTTAAAAGAACTGGTAAATTAAAATAGTTATACATTTACTATCTCGATTAATGGAATAATTTTTCCGAACAATTTCTAATAAAACATTATGTCTTTCTGTTAAATTAGGTACTTATTTTCTGTTTCCTATATTTCGTATTTAATAGGCCCCGATTACTATATTGTTTGTAACTTACAGCTTTATAACAAACAATGAGTTTTAATAGAAATAATATATTCATAAATTTATAATCTTGAAATATGAAAATTTCTTCGATACAGTTTAAAACATTTAATGTTTTCAGTAAATTACTTTAATTTTAAAAGAGCTGATTACTTACAATTTCATAATGAACAACAAATTGTAACAGCAATAACTGAAGGCTCAAATATGCATTTTTATTGGCAATGTACATTGTGTGTAATCAGCAATTGCACGTTCAATATTAAAAGCAATTTTCTTCTATAGCATTCAATGTAATATATTCATGCATCTACAAATTTAATTTATGGAATTTTTTTCTAAACAGTCTAAAATACAGAATTCAGTGCTTTCGATTTCAAAGAAGCTGACTTGATATTTTCATTTTAAAATAGCTGACTACTACATTGTTTACATTCACAATTTCACAATAAACAGAACGTTTTAACAGCAATAACCAAAAAAATAAATATTCATTATTATTTGCAATGATTATTGTTCGTAATCAGCACTTACAGATTCAATATT